CAAATGAAGGATGTGGAGGCACTATGCTTGACCTAGTCAACCTTACCACTAGCGGACTGCTTTTCAACGGCAGAAGATTCCACATTTATCCAAATGAGATAAATCCATAGGAGCTGCTGGCGATGGTCAGAAACAAAAGGAGACCACAACGGTTACCGCCGTTTGGCTGAACCCCACCTATGGTCGTCACTGGACGGAGGCGGAGGAGAAGGGAAAGAAAAACCCTTTCCGAACCGGAGAGAGCCTCGTTATCCTGCTAAGAGGATCGGCATTGCGCACTGTCGTTTTTGTTGCTCGATCGGGAAAGACAACATGGGCTGTGCCGCTGCCTGTGCGTCCCAGGCTAGCACTGTAGGAGACGAGGAAGGGCCCTCAACCAGTATCAACGGCAGTGAGAGAGATGAGTACCTCTGGCATCGCGTGCTTGGTTCGACCTCGGATATGTCTTCCGCAGACAAGTGGAGGGAAACCTCTGATGTTGCTACCACCGGTGAGGAGAGGGTGATGTTTTAGCGACGGATATTGTTGATGCGGCTAGAGGAGAGTAAATTGATGCTCTGACCAATGGAATGCGTCTTCCTCGCGCCTGCACTGGAGCCGATTGTTGCAAATTGTCTTCTTCCCGGGATCCAAGCTTGTTATTCCACATTTTTTATGTATTTTCCGATTAATTCCTACTAAAGTGACGTGAGAGACGATAAAGGCTCTCAATGAAAGCACCAATGTTGGTTCAAAATAGGACGCTCGTAGGCTTTTAGGAAAGCTACATAAGAACACTCAAGCAGGAATTAGGAAAGTACGAATATGGAAAGTTGCAAAGGGGATTTGGTAACCAGAAATAGCATATAGAATTTGTCTCCCCTAATCTGAATTACAACTCGCCTTTTGTAGGCGTATACAAATCGTAATTGTTACCGATAATAATGACTAATTAATTACAACATTAATACGGAATTAAATACATAATTAATAGCGCATTAATTGCTTGACCGTTACTCTTCCGGGCTGGGAGGTCGGCCGGACTGGTAGGCTCCCTGCTGGGCTGGCAGGCAGGCTCCAGGTTGTGGACTTGGATCCACGGGTCCAAGTTCGGGGCTTGGACTGATTAGGCTCTGGGCCTAGTCCTATTACTCCATCAGTAATGTTCCGTAGGACATAAAAGAATGGAGTTGACATCACTACCCTTAATGAGAAAAGTCAATTTCTTTATTATTAGTCAATATTATTATAAAACATACAGAGTAATAATAAAACGGATTTCAACAAAGGTGCAGCGCGTAGATGACATCAAGCATTCAAGCTGCACCAGATCTGGTGAGCCACGACTATCACCGCCACCACCAGCATTGATGTCGGCGCCACCACCGTCAGCGTTGGCTTTGCCGCCGCCTGCATCGTCATCATCGTTGTCCCCACCATAGGTGCCACCAGCTGCTCCATCTTTGACCTTATCTAGCTTTTCCGCCAGCCCCGCCATATCCGGCGTCGCCACCACCACACCATGGCTCATCTGCGTGAACAAGGTGACCTCTAGCGTCGCCGCTGCCTCCACTGTATATCTCATATCTTATTTCAAATATGATATGACTCTCACTCAAGTGCCATCTTGCAGTTGGACTGTCATCTTAATGACATTATTGCCATCCTGATACAAGCAAGATGTCATTTTCATATTAAAAAACATGGCATTAATGTCTTTCCGAATGAGTACTAATGTCATCTTCATAACATTAATTAATGCCATAAAAATGACGTTCTCAAAGTGAAATTTTCAAATCCAGAGTAACATTGTAAAATTAATCCCATAAAAATGACACAATTCTGAAATAAATTTGCAATTGATGATATTCAATGGGGAAAATTATAATAATAATATTTATTTCATTTTCAAATTAAAAAAATAAAAATCTCGAAATAAATATAAAGAACTAAAAAATCAAGAAATAATAAAAACAGAGATGGTTTCTCAACAAAAAATAGAGATGGTGGGAGAAGAAGAAGTAGAGGAGGAGGAGGAAGAAGATCCAACCAACCTGGATGTTGTTCACTTGTGGCCGTTCGCCGCTCACCGCCGTTCGCCGCTCATCGGTGGCTAGAAACGGAGAGAAACTTCATCATCCATATCTCTAAAAATCCCAGAGATGAAAGGAATCGAGATAGTTAAATAAAATTGAAACTGTTATACAAGAGAATAGAATAAAATAGAGGTCTCAGATTTAAATTTATGGATGATAGATGGGAAAGAAGAGATTTGGATTTGGGGAAGGAAGATGGGGGAAAGAATAAAGGGGAGATTGGGGAAAAAGAAGGTATGGAGTAGGGAGAAGAGAAAGAGATGTACGTCTCTTAGGCCTGAGGCGTGCGAGATGGGTATACTAGGTAGGTTAATTAAATTAGTCTTATTTAGATAATAAATTAAAGAGAGCTCATATTTTAGAACTTCTCTACTATTTTAGTCCTATTTAGAGCAAATACTTTTTGTGAATTCATATGTGAACGTTAGTTTAGAATAAGTGGCTAATTATATCATCTTAATTAAAAAGGTGATTATTTAGAGACCGGAGTAGAGGAAGAGAATTAGGAGCATTGGATTTGAGGTAAGTTTCTCTGCCAATCCAAAATTGTTTCCTCGTATTATATGCTTATTATGCATTATGTGATTAAGTGTGATTTGTGAATTTTGTGTATGTGATTTTGAGAAGATATTATATATATGGTAGTTAAGAAGTATAAATCAAGTACTTTTGGGGTATTAAATATTTTTAAATACCTTCGAGACTTTTTAGAGAAATTAAGAAGTATTTTTGAAGTATTATTAAGCGAAGATAAAATTTACATTTTCATAAGAAGATAGCATCTCGGGAGTAATCCGAGGTGTCGGTTTTTCCACATCCGGATAAATGTGGAGGGTGATTAGAGCTACTACTACTAAGAAGTACAGTTTGGATCTATGATCCCTTTTAAGCAAGATTTGGATCTATGATCCCTTTTAAGTGAGATTTGGATCTATGATCCCTTTTAAGAAGAAGTTATAGTAGTAGTCCCTAATCATTCAAGAATTTTAGAATTGGGGTGGTTGGGTTCCGACCACTCGGGATGACTTACTACTCGGAGGGCTTGGAATCCCTTTTAGGGGGTGTGCACACTTAAGGTAGTCGTTTCGTTTCCAACAGAGCAGTTGTGGTACCGGCACTTGTTCGGGGTGGCCGTCCGTAACCACGGTTCACCGGGCTCTATCGAAAGGTTGAGCACCGCCCTTCTAAATTACTAGGAAGTTAGAGAAGAAGTGATTTTCTTAAGAAGTTTAAAAAGAAGAGTTACTAAGAGATTTTCCAAGAGAAGTTTAAGATTTTAGCAAAGAAGTAGTTTGAGAAAAACCAAAGTGAAAAGAATTTTGATGGTGTGAGTATTTTTATATATTATTATATAAAAATCTATTTTTAGCCAAACCTGATTATTTTACGGGGTTGGGTAGTACTTACTTAGCTCTAAAGCTAATTTTTGTTATTTTCTTGTCTCTCTTTTCTCCCTTAAATCAGGTGATGAGTTGGATACCTATGTGGATTGACGGATTGCTCGAGCTTGAGTGCGAATTAGAAGATGCCTTAGTTAAATCTAGTCATAAATCAAACATTTACTTATTATTACATTAGTTTTTATTGTTTTACTTTGAGTTGTCTGTGCATTCGGTTAAGAGATGACCGAATGTGGCGGTAACACTCATTTCCCTTTTAGACTTCCGCTGTATTTCTTCAACTCTTTGATGAATGAATAAAGTATTTCTTTTAAATATGTCAATGTTTTGGGCGGGAAATTTAGGGGTGTTACAACAATTATATGAGAAAAACCCTACTCTCATCATTTAGTTCAATAATGCCGAAGATGGGACCGTAGGAGTTTGTTTTTGTCTCTAGGGGTTCCCTCACCCCTTTATTCTTATATATCAATTACTATAGTCCTCCTAATATTTAATTGGAAAATATAATAGGTGTGGGATACGCTCAAGTAGTTCTAGGATATCTATTTCCATCAAACTTGCTATTTTTAGTAGGTTGGGTCCAAAGTAACACTTGGGCTGCCCAATCTTCCATATTTTGTCTAGAAGGGTTATGAATATTTCTTTACATAGTATTGCGCTCTTATATCTAATAAGATAGCTCAATTAAGTATTTGGAAGCTCATCCTTATAATACGGGCCCAAACGATAGTATGATTAATCATATATTACATAAAGCATTAATCGTTTTAGAAATGTTTGATAATAGAGAAATCAATACATCAACTTTGAATTTTAAATTGTAATTTCAAGAACGTCCACGTGCGGTGTCACATGTATAACATCACAGTTACATTGATAACTCATTATATTATATACTCATCAAAACTATTTCTCAAAATATATTTGAATTAGCATATTAAATTATTGTATTTGAATATGACAGATGTAGTAAAAACTAGAGAAAACTATCAAATAGGTCCGCGTACTATAATGAAAAGTTCAATCGGATCCTAATTAACTCAATCAAATCCCCTAACTATTAAAAATGGACCGATAATGCTATTCTAGGCGATGAATAACCGATTGTGCCATTTGAAGCTAATGTGGCCGCGTATGTGGCGTGAATTAATCTCTCATTTGGAAAAATCTTTAGTGACACTTCTAGAACCTGTTGAATTTTGAGGTTTTCCCGTATTTCTTTGAAGATTGTCTCCTTCCATATTTAATGTTCTCAATCCTATGTCGCTTTATTTTTGCTTTTTTCTTTTGGGAATTCAAATCCTAAGGTGTAAACTAACGTTCACATATGAATTCACAAAAAGTATTTGCTCTAAATAGGACTAAAATAGTAGAGAAGTTCTAAAATATGAGCTCTCTTTAATTTATTATCTAAATAAGACTAATTTAATTAACCTACCTAGTATACCCATCTCGCACGCCTCAGGCCTAAGAGACGTACATCTCTTTCTCTTCTCCCTACTCCATACCTTCTTTTTCCCCAATCTCCCCTTTATTCTTTCCCCCATCTTCCTTCCCCAAATCCAAATCTCTTCTTTCCCATCTATCATCCATAAATTTAAATCTGAGACCTCTATTTTATTCTATTCTCTTGTATAACAGTTTCAATTTTATTTAACTATCTCGATTCCTTTCATCTCTGGGATTTTTAGAGATATGGATGATGAAGTTTCTCTCCGTTTCTAGCCACCGATGAGCGGCGAACGGCGGTGAGCGGCGAACGGCCACAAGTGAACAACATCCAGGTTGGTTGGATCTTCTTCCTCCTCCTCCTCTACTTCTTCTTCTCCCACCATCTCTATTTTTTTGTTGAGAAACCATCTCTGTTTTTATTATTTCTTGATTTTTTAGTTCTTTATATTTATTTCGAGATTTTTATTTTTTTAATTTGAAAATGAAATAAATATTATTATTATAATTTTCCCCATTGAATATCATCAATTGCAAATTTATTTCAGAATTGTGTCATTTTTATGGGATTAATTTTACAATGTTACTCTGGATTTGAAAATTTCACTTTGAGAACGTCATTTTTATGGCATTAATTAATGTTATGAAGATGACATTAGTACTCATTCGGAAAGACATTAATGCCATGTTTTTTAATATGAAAATGACATCTTGCTTGTATCAGGATGGCAATAATGTCATTAAGATGACAGTCCAACTGCAAGATGGCACTTGAGTGAGAGTCATATCATATTTGAAATAAGATATGAGATATACAGTGGAGGCAGCGGCGACGCTAGAGGTCACCTTGTTCACGCAGATGAGCCATGGTGTGGTGGTGGCGACGCCGGATATGGCGGGGCTGGCGGAAAAGCTAGATAAGGTCAAAGATGGAGCAGCTGGTGGCACCTATGGTGGGGACAACGATGATGACGATGCAGGCGGCGGCAAAGCCAACGCTGACGGTGGTGGCGCCGACATCAATGCTGGTGGTGGCGGTGATAGTCGTGGCTCACCAGATCTGGTGCAGCTTGAATGCTTGATGTCATCTACGCGCTGCACCTTTGTTGAAATCCGTTTTATTATTACTCTGTATGTTTTATAATAATATTGACTAATAATAAAGAAATTGACTTTTCTCATTAAGGGTAGTGATGTCAACTCCATTCTTTTATGTCCTACGGAACATTACTGATGGAGTAATAGGACTAGGCCCAGAGCCTAATCAGTCCAAGCCCCGAACTTGGACCCGTGGATCCAAGTCCACAACCTGGAGCCTGCCTGCCAGCCCAGCAGGGAGCCTACCAGTCCGGCCGACCTCCCAGCCCGGAAGAGTAACGGTCAAGCAATTAATGCGCTATTAATTATGTATTTAATTCCGTATTAATGTTGTAATTAATTAGTCATTATTATCGGTAACAATTACGATTTGTATACGCCTACAAAAGGCGAGTTGTAATTCAGATTAGGGGAGACAAATTCTATATGCTATTTCTGGTTACCAAATCCCCTTTGCAACTTTCCATATTCGTACTTTCCTAATTCCTGCTTGAGTGTTCTTATGTAGCTTTCCTAAAAGCCTACGAGCGTCCTATTTTGAACCAACATTGGTGCTTTCATTGAGAGCCTTTATCGTCTCTCACGTCACTTTAGTAGGAATTAATCGGAAAATACATAAAAAATGTGGAATAACAAGCTTGGATCCCGGGAAGAAGACAATTTGCAACAATCGGCTCCAGTGCAGGCGCGAGGAAGACGCATTCCATTGGTCAGAGCATCAATTTACTCTCCTCTAGCCGCATCAACAATATCCGTCGCTAAAACATCACCCTCTCCTCACCGGTGGTAGCAACATAAGAGGTTTCCCTCCACTTGTCTGCGGAAGACATATCCGAGGTCGAACCAAGCACGCGATGCCAGAGGTACTCATCTCTCTCACTGCCGTTGATACTGGTTGAGGGCCCTTCCTCGTCTCCTACAGTGCTAGCCTGGGACGCACAGGCAGCGGCACAGCCCATGTTGTCTTTCCCGATCGAGCAACAAAAACGACAGTGCGCAATGCCGATCCTCTTAGCAGGATAACGAGGCTCTCTCCGGTTCGGAAAGGGTTTTTCTTTCCCTTCTCCTCCGCCTCCGTCCAGTGACGACCATAGGTGGGGTTCAGCCAAACGGCGGTAACCGTTGTGGTCTCCTTTTGTTTCTGACCATCGCCAGCAGCTCCTATGGATTTATCTCATTTGGATAAATGTGGAATCTTCTGCCGTTGAAAAGCAGTCCGCTAGTGGTAAGGTTGACTAGGTCAAGCATAGTGCCTCCACATCCTTCATTTGCTTTGAAATGAAATTGGGCCGTGGAAGACAAAAATTGTGGACAAAGTCAAATTTTGGGCTTCAATCACACCTGGCATCGTGGTTATCATTTTGATCGAATTGAAAACTCCTTAAAGCTAAGTACCGTTCAAACCCCCTCCATAAATTGTGGAAATGTTTGTTTAAAAAATCATAAATTGAAACATTTGAAAAGATATTTTAAGTGATATATTGCTTTTACTCTTGTTAAGTGTGTGTAATTTTAACATTGAAAAACTGACTTATGAAATCCCATTACTCAAGTACGCCGGACGAGCACACACACTCGTACACTGGTCGAGCACACACACTCGCGCCACCGGGTCACGTCATATGGGTGTGACGATAAATAAGCTCCAATATACATGTTAATACCGCACACTCTTGACTTCATAAATACGAGTTCTCGCGTGCTCTTACCCCTTCATAGTGCATCACACTCCGACCTCGGGGGACGAGTCACCCGTTCAAAAGTTTTTACTTGCGGGTTCGAACTACTAACCTCGAGCGGCGAGTTAAACTCTTGTTAGGGGCCTAGAGCCACGCTCTTCCGAGCAATTTTGTCACTTAATTGACATTCACATTTCTCAAAAAGGTTGATATACTTTAGTTCTTTGGGGTTGGATTATCCGTTTGAGTGAGGAGTCCGACTCACTTACTCGCGGATTCAATCTTTCTTTCGGAGACTGGGTTGAGGCCTAACCTTGGAACTTGGTGTCACTCTTTTCAAGTGGTGAGTCCGACTCAGTTACACACTAAGTCATGGTTCGACACCGGGCCAGATGCTCTATTCTACACTTGTTACTTTTATGCGTAGGTACGACTGAATGAAGACGAGCTTGATGAGTCCGAACCCGACGAGAAGAACGGTTCTAGCCATCCTCTTCGCAGATGGTGACCATGGCAATAAAAGGCTGAAGATTTCACCTCTTGCTTCATCTTGGGGGCATCAGGTGTACTCTTTTCCCCTTCATTAGGAATTTTTCCCATTGGGTTTTTTCCTAGTGAAGGTTTTTAATGAGGCATCTCCCCAACATGGACAAGGGCGGGGATCTTCTAGTCTCGGAGAAGAGCAACTAACTTAGACTACTCCCTCTTAGCCGAGTCTACTACTCGACTAAGGGAGTGGGGGACTCGTGATGGAGTAATAGGACTAGGCCCAGAGCCTAATCATCCCAAGCCCCGAACTTGGACCCGTGGATCCAAGTCCATAACCTGGAGCCTGCCTGCCAGTCCAGCGGGGAGCCTGCCAGTCCGGCCGACCTCCCAGCCTGGAAGAGTAACGGTCAAGCAATTATTGCGCTATTAATTATGTATTTAATTCCGTATTAATGTTGTAATTAATAAGTCATTATTATCGGTAACAGTTACGATTTGTATACGCCTACAAAAGGCGGGTTGTAATTCAGATTAGGGGAGACAAATTCTATATGCTATTTCTGGTTACCAAATCCCCTTTGCAACTTTCCATATTCGTACTTTCCTAATTCTTGCTTGAGTGTTCTTACGTAGCTTTCCTAAAAGCCTACGAGCGTCCTATTTTGGACCAACAATTACGAAACATTGAAGTCTTAGATTTGCACTTTTACAATAATTTACTCCTATATGGGTAATTTTCTCATTCACAAAGGATAAGCAGCTTTGGAACCTGCCAACAATCGTACGACTCAAAGACAGGGTTACGAACAATGGAGATGGAAGAAGGGGTCTTCAACTAGAAACGGGGAAGAAAGCCATATCATTCAAGAGTTTTCAAAAACAGAATTAATTCAATCATATATGCGAGCACATCAGTATCAAACGGCACAACCGGTTACTCACCGACTAAATAACAATGTAGACCCATTTTTAATCATTGGGCGATTTGATTGAGTTAATTAATTGTAAGAGAACTATAGGTTACAAGTGTGCCACTTCTGAAAATGAATTTGGATCCTCTCCATTAACTAGAGAGTTCCATTATGAGAGAGATAGAGAGGAGAAAATGAAAGGTGGGCTATGTTGGTGAATAGGATAGAGAAAAAGGTAGAGATAGATAGGAAGTAAAAAGGAAATGGAGGGAAAATGGAGAGAAAGAAATGGAGAGGAGCTGCATCCTCTGAAAATAACTATAGGTTACAAGTGTGCCACTTCTTAGTCACATTCTCATTCACTAGTTGCCAGTTTATGGTTAAAGGACGTGTTTGACATTTAACGGTTAGCGAATAATGGATTATGTTATAGCGTGTTGGGAATATTATATGGTGTCCAATCTAATTAAATATCTTTGTATTTGTGTAGTTATTAATTAAATGTGTAATACGGGCCACAAATGTGTATCGGCCCGTTAACTTCTTTGTAATCCATAAGTTAGCCAACTTCTCCTATTTTTTCTTCAAAAATCTAACTTTCTGCGTATTTTGGCTGAATCGGCCTGGTTTGGACGCTATTCTGCAATTGATGGATGTTTTCGATCAAGTTTTGAGATAAACAAGGGTGAAATTCCGTTTTTGGGATTTTTGAAATCTCGAAGTTTTGAGTTTTTTCGCAGGTTTTGCGAAGAAAACGGGTTTCTCGACATCAAGATCTCGACATTAGGATCTCGACATCAAGATCTCGACATCAGGACCTCGACATCAGGTTCTCGACACCAGGATCTCGACATCAAGATCTCGACATCAAGATTTCGACATCAAGATCTCTACATCAACATCTCGACATCAAGATCTCAACATCAAGATCTCGACATCAATATCCCGACATCAGGATATCGAAAAATCTCTCATAATTCAAATTTCGAGATTTTCAGCGTCTTCGCACTGTTTTGGCCATAAATTTTGACTCGGTGATCCGATTTAAGCGAATCATACATTCTTGGAAAGCTAACGAAAAGATCTTCATGAGGGAGATATCGTCAGCTTTCCTAGAAACATTGTCAATCACCAATGTCAAGGTCAAAACTTAGGCAAATCTAATCAAATTCTTCCAAAGCCAACACCAAAGGTCAACCCTACAATCAAAGCTTCCAAGAGTCAACCTTGAATTAAAAAAAATATCTCAAGGTTAAGACCATCGCCTTTATATGACGATCGGCTTCATCAGCGCCTCGTCATCATATTATAGGACCGGCTCCTCATCGCCGTCGTCCTCATATCACGACCGACCCCCTCGGCCTCGGCGTGATTATCTATCTCAAGACCGGCTTCCTCAGCGCCGCGAGTCTTGAGCTAGCGATCGGGCTCGCCATCCCTTCCCGGATGGTGACCATCGCCTTTATATGACGATCGGCTTCATCAGCGCCTCGTCATCATATTATAGGACCGACTCCTCATCGCCGTTGTCCTCACATCACGGCTGGCCCCTCGGGCTCAGTGTGATCATCTATCTCAAGACCGGCTTCCTCAGCGCCGCGAGTCTTGAGCTAGCGATCGGGCTCGCCATCCCTTCCCGGATGGTGACCATCGCCTTTATATGACGATCGGCTTCATCAGTGCCTCGTCATCATATTATAGGACCGGCTCCTCATCGCCGTCGTCCTCATATCACGACCGACCCCCTCGGCCTCGGCGTGATTATCTATCTCAAGACCGGCTTCCTCAGCGCCGCGAGTCTTGAGCTAGCGATCGGGCTCGCCATCCCTTCCCGGATGGTGACCATCGCCTTTATATGACGATCGGCTTCATCAGCGCCTCGTCATCATATTATAGGACCGGCTCCTCATCGCCGTTGTCCTCACATCACGGCCGGCCCCTCGGGCTCGGCGTGATCATCTATCTCAAGACCGGCTTCCTCAGCGCCGCGAGTCTTGAGCTAGCGATCGGGCTCGCCATCCCTTCCCGGATGGTGACCATCGCCTTTATATGACGATCGGCTTCATCAGCGCCTCGTCATCATATTATAGGACCGGCTTATCATCGCCGTTGTCCTCACATCACGACCGTCCCCTCGGCCTCGGCGTGATCATCTATCTCAAGACCGGCTTCCTCAGCGCCGCGAGTCTTGAGCCAGCGATCGGGCTCGCCATCCCTTCCCGGACGGTGACCATCGCCTCTATATGATGATCGGCTTCACCATCGCCTCTTCATCATTATTTGGACTGACTCCTCATCGTCGTCGTCCTCATATTACGACCGCCCCCCTCGGCCTCGGCGTGATTATCTATCTCAAGACCGGCTTCCTCAGCGCCGAGAGTCTTGAGCTGGTGATCGGGCTCACCATCCCTTCCTGGATGGTGACCGTCGCCTTTATATGACGATTGGCCCATCACGGCCTCGTCATCATTTATTGGAACGGCTCATCATCACCGCCATGCTCACATCGCGGCAGACCCCTCGGTCTCAACGCGATCTTGAGCTAGCGACTGGGCTCACCATCCCTTCCTGGATGGTGATCATCGCCTCTATATGACGATCGACTTCACCATCGCCTCGTCATCATTGTTTGGACCGACTCCTCATCGTCGTTGTCCTCATATCACGACCGGCCCCTCGGCCTCGGCGTGATTATCTATCTCAAGACCGGCTTCCTCAGCGCCGCGAGTCTTGAGCTAGCGATCGGGCTCGCCATCCCTTCCCGGATGGTGACCATCGCCTTTATATGACGATCGGCTTCACCATCGCCTCGTCATCATTGTTTGGACCGACTCCTCATCGTCGTCGTCCTCATATCACGACCGGCCCCTCGGCCTCGGTGTGATTATCTATCTCAAGACCGGCTTCCTCAGCGCCGCGAGTCTTGAGCTAGCGATCGGGCTCGCCATCCCTTCCTGGATGGTGACCATCGCCCTTATATGACGATCAGCTTCATTCTTGCCTCGTCATCATATTATCGGATCGGCTCATCATCTCCGTCCGCACATCACGATCGGCCCCTCGGCCTCGGTATGATTATCTATCCCCAAGACCGGTCTCAGTCATTCCTTCATCGGATGGCGACCGCTGCTTGGACTTTTGGATCAGCCTCATAGTGCTGACGACCTCGCATCACGATCGGCCCCTCGGCCACGACGTCACACCCTATCCCAACACCGGCTTCATCAGCGCCGAGTGTGTTAGGCTAGCGATCAGGCTCGCCATCCCCTCCTGGATGGTGACTATCGCCTCTATATGACGATCGGCTCCATCATCGCCTCGTCATCATATTTCGGACTGGCTCCTCATCATTGTCGTCCGCACATCGCGATCAGCCTCTCGGCCGCGACATGATTATTTATCTCAAGACCGGCTCCCAGCGCCGAAGTCTTGTTATAGCGATTGGGCTCGCCATTCCTTCCCGGACGGTGACCGTCGCCCCTATATGACGCACGGCTCATCATCGCCTCGTCCTCGCATTTAGACCGGCCCCAGCGCCAAAGTCCTTATCTAGCGACCAGGCTCGCCATTCCCTTCCTGGATGGTGACCGTCGCCTTCATATGACGCATGGCTTATCATCGCCTCGCCCCCATATTCGGACCGGCTCACCAGCGCCATCGTCCCCATATTCGGACCGGTTCGTCAGCGCTGTCGTCCTCATATTCGGACCGACTCATCAGCGTCGTCGTCCTCATATTCAGACAGGCGTCCACCACCTCGTTCCCCTATTCAGATATAGCGAACATCTTGCGGTCTCCGGCTGAAAGGCTAAAGGAGCCCAGAGTTCAGCCATATATCGCTCCGTCATCTTTATTTGATGACGCGAAGCTCATTTGCAGGCCCATCGGCCATACATCGCTCTGTCATCTTTATTTGATGATGAAGAGCTCATTTGTAGGCCCATCGGCCATATATCGCTCTGTCATCTTTATTTGATGATGAAGAGCTCATTTGTAGGCCCATCGGCCATATATCGCTCTGTCATCTTTATTTGATGACGTCGAGCTCATCTACAGGCCCCTCGGCCATATCTCGCTCTGTCATCTTTATTTGATGATGAAGAGCTCATTTGTAGGCCCATCGGCCATCTATCGCTCTGTCATCTTTATTTAATGACGAAGAGCTCATCTACAGGACCATCGGCCATATATCGTTCTGTCATCTTTATTTAATGACGATGAACTCATTTGTGGGCCTCTGAGCCACATCTTGCTCCGTCATCTTTATTTGATGACGCGAAGCTCAGTTGCAGGCCCATCGGGCATATATCGCCTCGTCATCTTTATTTGATGACGCGAAGCTCATTTACGGGCCCATCGGCCATATCTCGCTCCGTCATCTTTATTTGATGACATGGCTCTCTCATATAGGCCTCTCTCGGCCATACATCACCCCGTCATCTTTATTTGATGATGTGGGGCTCTCATGTAGGCCTCTCGGCCAGACGTCGCCCCGTCATCTTTATTTGATGACGTGGAGCTCTTATGCAGGCCCCTCGGACGCACCATCGCCCCGTCGTCTTTATTTGACGACGTGGAGCTCTTATGCAGGCCCCTCGGCCGCACCATCACCCCGTCGTCTTTATTTGACGACGTGGAGCTCTTATGCAGGCCCCTCGGCCGTACCATCGCCCTGTCGTCTTTATTTGACGACGTGGAGCTCTTATGCAGGCCTCTCGGCCGCACCATCGCCCCTTCGTCTTTATTTGACGACGTGGAGCTCTTATGCAGGCCCCTCGGCCGCACCATCGCCCCGTCGTCTTTATTTGACGACGTGGAGCTCTTATGCAGGCCCCTCGGCCTTATTCGACAACATGGAGCTCTCGCACAGGCCTCTCGGCCTATCGGCCTTACGTTCTGGTCATCTTTATTTGATGAACCAGACATCATGTTGTGGACGGTCGCTCGACCCATCCCTCAGTCATCTTTATTTGATGACTAGGACTACTGATCATGATGAGCTACCCACATCTAGAGATCGGCCTCGACCATCCAGCAGACGGGCACCGCTGCAGCTCCATCTCCAGGCCGAAGGGCTCGCACCTTTTGTTTCATTTTGGGGGCATCCGGTGTACTCTTTTTCCCTCATTAGGATTTTTTCCCACAGGGTTTTTCCTAATGAGGTTTTTAACGAGGCATCTCCCCATCGTGGTTCAAAAGGTGTCAACCCTCGGCCCCCTGTTGAAGACATCATCCGACACGCATTACTCTACTCCTCTTCACCTCATTACACTCGCCTCAAGGAGTGTGGGACTTAGCGCCTCCGTTAACCAAAGAAGCAGAAATTCAAATTTTTGTCCACGAAGTTTACTCACCAGACGACGACAGATCAGCACACAGTTCTACTCTCTTTCGCCTCGAATACTCTCGACTCAGAGAGTGGGGGACTCCTGATAGAGTATATAGACTCGGACCCCCAGGTCTCACGACTATTGGGCCCGGACAGCGGCCCACACACATCTTACGGATATCATTTGTATTATTGTACTGCTTATATGTCATTTGTATGTAACTATGTACTAGATTAGTCTTTTATGTAGTTGGGCTACCGGGCCCATATTAGCGGCCCGGCCCATTATTTCCCTATTTATACTCCTCTTGGAGCCATTTGTAAACCTAACTTTTCCTAACTCATAATTCATACACAATATCACATTTCTACTATTCATACATCTTCTCCAATTATCTAGCTCAATCTCTCCATTTTAATATACTTTGGATATCCTATAATCCATCAATTATTATTATTATTATTATTATTATTATTCTTATTATTATTATTATTATTATTATTATTATTATTATTATTATTATTATTATTATTATTCATACAATTATCAAATAAATAAAATAAACCATAAGGACCATCTAGACCTATAAATACACCCTCTTAGCCATCCCAAACACTTCAAATCGGAGAGATAGAAGCTATATATACATATACATATATATATATATAATCTCGCCGGAAAATTTATATCTATATTATTTTACGTATCAAACTTCGTAAAAACGATAGAGGAGGGTCGTGAGAGGTCTAGGAATACTTCCCAATAAATTTTAGACCGATTCGTAGTCACCGGAGTTGCTTAGACGTCGCCGGAGTGTCAAGCCGTGCAAACGGGTCTTCAGCAAAAGCGGACATTTGGCCGTAGATATGGGTGGAGGAGCTTCGTCTCGACGTGAGGATCATTTTGCAACTTGAATCGTCGAAAACCGTTACCTGTAAGTAAAGTTATCGCTCGCTGAAGTTTTCGTAATTCCGGTCGCCGGAATCGCGACCTGGAGAAGAGCTGGGAAGAAGACAACCCAGTTTTCTTGGGCCGGGTCGCGTATGTGGGCCGGTTCGGCCCATTTTCAATAAACATTAAAAATAAAATAGTAAATGAAATAATAAAATCTGGAAAAATATAAATTAAATACCTAGTATAAATATACATATTCGGACCAACTAGAATTGAAAAATAATATTTTTAACTATTTTTAATTGATTTAATTGTAATTGGGCCAATTTGTACATATTTAGTAAATAATTAACTAAACGACGAAATAAATTATGAAATAATTATTGGATTAAACTAGATTAAACATATGACTAACTAGGACATTTGGGATCATTTATATTTAATAAAAATTATGATTAGTATATTTAATTGTAATTAAACCGGTTAATAGATATATGAAATTAAATGAATAAATAAGGGAAATAATTCTAAAATAAATATATTGACAACCTAGGTCAAATATAGACCAAAAATATAGTTATGGACGGTTATAAATTTATAAAGTCGATTCTTAAGCTATTTAATTTAATTGGGCCATATAAAACTAGTTAAGTAATTAAATAAGAAAATTTGAATAATAATGGTGAAATAAATAAAATCACTAAGATTGGAAATAGTATTCTGGACTAAAATGAGGTTTGGAATAAAATAAGGAAAAAAATAAAGTTGGGATAGCTAGGACCACAATACTAGGACCACAATACTTGCAAGATACCATAGAGAAAGTCAAAGTCATCCAAGAGAGGATGAAGGCTGCCCAAGACCGACAGAAATCATATGCCGATCTTGGGAGGAAGCCAGCTGAATTCGAGGTAGGGGAGAAAGTTCAACTCAAAGTCTCTCCTACAAGGGGAGTAATGAGGTTCGGGAAGAAAGGGAAACTAAGCCCGAGGTTCATCGGACCCTACGACATCCTAGAGAAGGTGGGAAAAGTGGCATATCGATTAGCTCTACCCACAGAGTTGGATAAGGTAACAAACGATTTTAAAACAAGATACTTTTCAACGATTAGATTTCATCCTTAACATACAGACTTGTGCTAGGTACATAACGTCTTTCACGTATCACAATTAAAGAAGTACGTTCGAGATGAGTCACATATCATCAATCCTGAGGTAAGAGACCCTAAACTTAACATGAACCAAAGTAAATTGGAAATAATATAAGTTAACCCTTATATTATTAGGTGATTGAAATGGATGAGGCGTTATCCTACGAAGAAAATGTAATACCTGAGATTTAATTTAAATGGATTAATAGTACTACTCATACCAACAAGGTGCATCTCCTTTTAAGGGAGCTCATCACCCAAGAACTCCAAAGTTAAGCGTGCTTGCACGGGAGTAGTCTTGGGATGGGTGACCCTCTGGGAAGTTTCTCAGGGCGTGCATGAGTGAGGACAAAGTGCGTGTAAAAGGCTAGTGGCGGTTTGTGAGGACAGTACTAGAGGTCAGAAGTAACTACCTCGGGGCCTACGGGGTCGGGGTGTTACAGAAAAACCCGTAGAGATCCTTGATACTAAAACCCGAGAGACGAGGAAGAAGAAAGTTAAGATGGTAAAAGTACTTTGGTCAAACCATTTGACCGAGAATGCAACATGGGAGACAGAAGAGGATATGCGTAAACGATATCCTGAACTGTTCAACTAAGGTAAATATTGGGTTACGAGGACGTAACCTTTCTTTTAGGGGGGCAGGATGTAACATCTTATAAACTTGTAATACTTTATCTTCATACTTAATTCTCGTCTTAGTTTATGCTTCGAGGACGAAACATTCTTTAAGGAGGGTAGAATGTGATACCTTGAAAATTTGAAATAAAAATAAATAAATAAATAAATTAGATAAGTTATATCTCATAAATCAAATGAAAGTAATATCAAAATATTTTGTATTATACTTGGTGTATAAAAAAATATGCATGCTACATGCAATAAAATTAAACACTTATGTGGCATCGAAAAAATAAAATAAAAATAAAATAGAAATAAATCAGATAAAATATAGATGACGGAATAAATAAATAAATAAATAAATAAAAATAGTAAGAATATTAAAAAGTACTAATAATAGCATCAAATTAATAAATGAATATATCAGATCATAAAATAATGACACATGCTAGGATCACCTACCAAATAATGTATATACATTATGTACATATATTTACATATATAAATATATATATTTATATGTAAAAATTAAAATAAAAAAAATAAAATAAAATAAATTAAACATCAACATAAATGGGAATCAAATCATGAATCAATACACATGCCATGTTCATCAACTACCAACCTATCATATACATTATTATTATTATTATATATTATTATTATTATTATTATTATTATTATTCATACAATTATCAAATAAATAAAATAAACCATAAGGACCATCTAGACCTATAAATACACCCTCTTAGCCATCCCAAACACTTCAAATCGGAGAGATAGAAGCTATATATACATATACATATATATACATAATCTCGCCGGAAAATTTTATCTATATTATTTTACGTATCAAACTTCGTAAAAACGATAGAGGAGGGTCGTGAAAGGTCTAGAAATATTTCCCAATAAATTTTAGACCGATTCGTAGTCACCGGAGTTTCAAGCCGCGCAAACGGGTCTTCAGCAAAAGCGGACATTTGGCCGTAGATAGGGGTGGAGGAGCTTCGTCTCGACGTGAGGATCATTTTGCAACTTGAATCGTCGAAAACCGTTACCTGTAAGTAAAGTTATCGTTCGCCGAAGTTTTCATAATTCTGGTCGCCGGAATCGCGACCTGGAGAAGAGCTAGGAAGAAGACAACCCAGTCTTCTTGGGCCGGGTCGTGTATTTGGGCCGGTTCGGCCCATTTTCAATAAAAATTAAAAATAAAATAGTAAATGAAATAAATAAAATCTGGAAAAATATAAATTAAATACCTAGTATAAATATACATATTCGGACCAACCAGAATTGAAAAATAATATTTGTAACTATTTTTAATTGATTTAATTGTAATTGGGCCAATTTGTACATATTTAGTAAATAATTAACTAAACGACAAAATAAATTATGAAATAATTATTGGATTAAACTATATTAAATATATTACTAACTAGGACATTTGGGATCATTTATATTTAATAAAAATTAGGATTAGTATATTTAATTGTAATTAAACCGGTTAATAGATATATGAAATTAAATGAATAAATAAGGGAAATAATTCTAAAATAAATATCTGGACAACCTAGGTACAATATAGACCCAAAATATAGTTATGGACGGTTATAAATTTATAAAGTCGATTCTTAAGCTATTTAATTTAATTGGGCCATATAAAACTAGTTAAGTAATTAAATAAGAAAATTTGAATAATAATGGTGAAATAAATAAAATCACTAAGATTGGAAATAGTATTCTGGACTAAAATGAGGTTTGGAATAAAATAAGGAAAAAAAAGTTGGGATAGCTAGCATAAATGAATGACTATATTTGGACTTAATAAATAAATTATTGAATTAGTGGACTAATTAAATTAGTGTGATTAAATTAATAATTATTATCCTTGATTATTATTGATTTGGAATCCATATAAATTATTAAACTATTTGAACTCATAAAAATTAGTTGATTAATATAAACAAATTAATTAAGTAATGTGTACTTAATAATTTAGTTAATTGACTTCATTGGACTAGTTTAACTAAATCAATTAGTTTAATGGATAAATTAGTTAAATTATGGACGTGGTAATATTTTTGGACTTTATATTAAAAATAGAAAATTAAAACGAAATTAGAATTTGATTATTGGCCTTAATTAAATTAGATTAATGTATTTAGCTATATTGATATAATTAAACTTATTTAGTTGATGAAGTTGATTCAATTAAATTAGTTAATCAAATAAATAAAACTGGAGGATTAGATTAATTAATTTAATTGGGTTAGTTAGTATAAATAAACTATTGAACTAATTAAAGTTGTTATTGAGATTAGAATATCATTAATAATTATTATTTCGAATTATTGCTTACGTCAAATTATTATTAAAAGGTTTATTAAATAAATTATATAAATTATGTAAACTGAATTTTGAACTGAAATTGATTATTTAAATTTGAAATAACTAAATTATTATGTAGTTAATATAATTAGACTAGTTAACTAATTAATCAAATAAATTAAAATAAATTATGGAGGGATTAGTATGATTAAAGAAAATAATAAGGTTGGGTTGGAAATTAACATTTTAAATAAGGTTTATGAATCTAACTTAATAGTTATATTTAAAGAAGGAATTATGAAATTAAAATAATTAAAGGTTGGATAGATAGGAAATAACAAAAATAATAGAGTAGTTATTGATTTAGAATTTTGATATATATTAGAAGGAGGATTCAAGTGAAGACCAAAGCTAGAGATTTTATTAAGGGGATTATCGCAATCTAAGGTAAGTTCTATGTCAACCAAAAATGTTTTATCTCGTATTTATATGTATGCAATATTTGAACTATGTGGACTATTTATGAATTGGAAACTATTTGTTTGACATGGAATGAATATTTTGAATGTATGGATATTGGTGGATTATTATCTATTATGGATTATTAAATGTATATTCTTTTTATTAAAGAATATTGGTGGATTGATATTTATTACAAAGTATATTTTTGGAAAGTGTGACAAGAATGACTTTGGAAAAAACTTAAAGTTTTTCATAATATATTTTTACGTCTCGAGAGAAACACGAGACGTGGGTGATTAGGACTACTACTACTTTTGGTGAAATTTATTTGGGTCGGTAACCAGTCCGGCAATGACATGCTCCGGTAGACATCTCGGGCTTTTATTTGAGGACCAAAGGTCCTTTGGTGGTTGTAGTAGTAGTTACCTAATTTATCCCTGGACAATGTCCCTTGTGAGTAGGTGGTAGAAAACATCCTGCCTACTTGGATTTCTTACTATTCGGAGGGCTTGGAATCCCTTTTAGAGGGTGTGCACACTTAAGGTAGAAATTCAGCTTCCAAATTGGTGATCGGTGGGAGCCGGAATCCCGGGATGAGTCGTAAATAACAACGACTCGTTGGGCTCGAGGAATCTTGAGTTTCGCCCACTCCTAAAAGAAATCTAAAGTATTACTTTTGGAGGAATTGAGGAATGACATTATCTATTGAAGAAATTATTTTGAGACATGAAGTTATTTTGGAGATATGAGAGGGTATTTTCTATATATATACCTATACCAAACCTATTTTCCAAATTATATTATTTTACGGGTTCGGGTGGAATCTTACTTAGCTCTAAAGCTAATTTTTGTCTCTTTTGTCTTCTTCTCTTTGCTCTATTGTACAAATGATTATGATTATGAAGATTGATGTACTTGTTGCCCGAGTGTTCCGCTAGTTGCACACGTTTGATTAATTATCGTTGTTTAAATTTGTAATTCACAAACTTTGTCCTAAGACCTATTTCATTGTTATTTGAACTTATGGTGGATAGCCTGTGCACTCAATCATGTATAGGTTGAGTGTGGCAGTGATGCACCTGTTTTTCCCTTAAAGACTTCCGCTGTATTCTAAATATGTTTAATAATAAAGATGGTTTCATTTAAAAATGTGATTTTATTTGGGTGGGAAAATGGGGGTGTTAGAGTTGCATTCTCTCTCATGGTTGGCCAGTAATATCCAAATCTGAGAGCTTTGTTAGACAGACTTCATCCGGCCGTGTGGTTGCCACATTCCCCTTCATGAAGGTTTTTTTTAGCACTTTGACAGCTTCTTGAGACGTCAGGCATCTTTGATATGGACTTGCTACAGATCTTTTGAACAAGACACCATCAATTAGTAGAAATCTACTTACCTTTGAGAGAAATGCTTTTGCTTCTCTCTTGTCTGTTGGGAGGACATTGTGCTTTAGGTACGCTATGTACGGCTGCATCCAGTCGTCTTGTGGTGATGATCCGATAACAGTGACGGATTCCAACCTATCAATAGCCGGTCTTGAAAAATGGACAAAAGGAATGTTGTTGTTCACTTCTGCCCCAAAGCATGACCCGATTGCTGCCAGGGCGTCAGCTTGCGCGTTTTCTTCCCTTGGGACTTGCTCGAAGGTAATTTCTTCAAATGATGTTGTCAACTTTATGACGACTTGTAAATAAGATGTCATCTTGGGATCTTTTGCTGCATAAACACCGTTAATTTGATTAACTATTAACAGAGAATCGCATTTTACCTCAAGGAATTTGACACCTAGATCCTTTGCCATAGTAAGACCGACAATCAACACTTCATATTCTGCTTCATTATTCGTGGCATTGAAGTCGCAATGGACTGATTGGAGCATGGTATCCCCCTGTGGCGACTTTAGAATTACGCCCAGGCCTGCTCCATTCATATTTGATGCCCTGTCAGTGTGTAGCGTCCAATTTTGGTGGGGCAATCCGTCGATCAGCAAGCATGTCTCCTCTTCTGCCTCGATCTGGAGTTTTGGGCTAAAGTCTGCCACAAAGTCTGCGAGTGTTTGGGATTTCAAGGCCGTTCTTGGCTCATACCTGAGATCGTAAGCTCCCAATTGGATTTACCATTTGGCCATGCAACCTGTCAACTCAGGTTTCCTCATGATTGACTTCAAGGGATAATTAGTCCGAACACGGATTGTATGAGACTCAAAATAAGGACGAAATTTAATTGAAGCCACAATTAATGCCAAAACTAACTTTTCAAGTAAAGCGTGCTTGGATTCTGGTCCATTTAGAGACTTACTCACGTAGTAGACTGATGTCTGTTGTCCGTCCTCTTCTCTTGTCAAGATGGCATTGATAGCATGCTCCGAAACGGCTAGATAAAGCTGGAGTTCTTCATCTTCTTTTGGCTTTGCGAGTAACGGTGGGGTCGTCATGTACTCCTTCAATTTTCGAAGTGCCTGTTCATGTTGTTCCGTCCATTCAATTTTTTTATTCTTTCGCAAAACGTAATAAAACAGGCGGCACTTGTCTGATGATTTTGAGATGAATCGATTTAGAGCTGTGACCCTGTAACACCCCGCCCTGTAGGACCCGAGGTAGTTATTCATACACACCGTCTGGACCTCTAGTACTGTCCTCAAAAACCGCCACTAGCCTTTTTCGCGCAGTTTGTCCTCACTCGTGCGCACCCTGAGAAACTTCGCAGGGAATCACCAATCCCAAGACTACTCCCGTGCAAGCACGCTTAACTTTGGAGTTCTTAGCTGATGAGCTCCCTTAAAAGGAGATGCACCTTGTTGGTGTGAGTAGTACTATTAATCCGCTTAAATTAATCTCGGGTATTACAATCACCCCACTTACGATCGCAACGTCCTCGTTGCGTAGTTAAACCAATCTCAATCAAACCCCAGAATCTTGCCACGCTAAGTGCCCGCTCGATATCCAATGGATTAACACACTGTCGCAGGGTTGCGACGTAGTTACTCATACACACCGTCCGGACCTCTAGTACTATCCTCATAAACCGCCACTAGCCTTTTTCGTACACTTTGTCCTCACTCGTGCGCGTCCTGAGAAACTTCGCAGGGGGTCACCCATCCCAAGACTACTCCCGTGTAAGCACACTTAACTTTGGAGTTCTTAGTTGATGAGCTCCTTTAAAAGGAGATGCACCTTGTTGGTATGAGTAGTACTATTAATCCGCTTAAATTAATCTCGGGTATTACAATCACCCCCACTTAAGATCGCAACGTCCTCGTTGCGTCCTTAAACCAATCTCAATCAAACCCCAGAATCTTGCCCCACTAAGTACCCGCCCGATATCCAACGGATCAGGACACTGTCACATGGTTGCTCTGATACCACTTATAACACCCCGCCCTGTAGGACCCGAGGTAGTTACTCATACAAACCGTCTGGACCTCTAATACTGTCCTCACAAACCGCCACTAGCCTTTTTCGCGCACTTTGTCCTCACTCGTGCGCGCCCTAAGAAACTTCCCAGGGGGTCACCCATCCCAATACTACTACCGTGCAAGCGCGCTTAACTATGAAGTTCTTAGCTGATGAGCTCCCTTAAAAGGAGATGCACCTTGTTGGTATGAGTAGTACTATTAATCCACTTAAATTAATCTCGGGTATTACAGACCATCCCTGTCATTACAGGGGCGGATTTAGCTATGGGCCGGGGAGGGCCTAGGCCCATGCTCATAAATAAATAAATTAGTATATATATATATATATATATATATATATATATATATATATATATATATATATATATAGGGGATGGTTCAAATAAAAAGAGGTCTTAACGTGCAAAGTGAAAAGTTTACACTTTTTCTTGTTTCGCTTGCACTTTTTCTTGCTTTCGTTGCACTTTTTCGCGATAGCTTAAAAAAATTGGTTTATTTACAAAACTGCCACCGTCATTTTGGCCGAATTCGGCCAAAATCAAAATGGCCAAAAAGTGCAACGCAAACAACAAAAAGTGCAAGTGAAACATGAAAAAGTAAAAACTTTGCACTTTGCACGGGAAGACCACTTTTCATTTGAACTCTTCCCTATATATATATATATATTAATATATTTAGTGTTGTGTAAAAATGGTATAATAATAATAACAATCAAAACATTAACAAAAACCAAAATGGTTGGATGGTAGTAGACCATAAGCATGCGGACATAGTAACATGAATGTCTTGGGTTTGATTCCCCGTGAGAACAATTTTTTCTGAGTTCTACAATTTTGTGATGGAGAGCATGTATTTAAAAATTTCAATTCTCTTTTCCCAAATATCTTTAACCCACACCGTGTCTGAAATATAATTAGTTTAACTCATTGGATTTGGAGGTGAAAATTAGTTCAATACTTATGGGCTTGAGATGTTTATGTAATTGATTTTGACAAAAAATCTTATTCTCATAATATTTATTTTTGTCTTTGACATTTATGTTGTAAAATATGTTATTTTACACATGAAAATAAGTTTTATTAAATATACACTACATCTGTTCTTAAGTAAATGCAACACTCCACTTGTCACATTTGTTGATGCACAATTTTGACCAGTAATATACTCAGTATATTATTCTCTATCAGTAAAAAAAATAAAAATAATAAGGTTTTAAAAATTTACAATCAGAAAAGTTTAACAATATTTTTAAAAAAGTTATTAATTCTTTAAAAAATAAACTGTAATCAAAATAGAATACATGATTAGTGTAAAATTCAACATGTTGCATTTATTTAAGAACATAAGTAATTATTTAAAGGAATACTATATTTTGACATTTTTTCGCAATATGTGTTATTGAATTAAATTTGGCCCTCGCTGAACGCCAATGCTAGATCCGCCCCTGCCTGTCAACCTTTGGACGTCTTTGACAGATGTGGGGGATTCAATGTCGAGGATGGCGCGTACTTGTGCCGGGCTTGCCTCTATCCCCCGTTCGCTGACGATGTACCCCAAGAATTCTTATGATGA